TATTATACAAGAGTTATCTTTACAAATTGTTACAAATATAGAACATAAGTTTATTAACAAAAACATTATTTTCATAATACAAATAAATATATCTCTGTTATAGAATGGTTATAATTTATTTAATATATTGATTTAAACATGTTTTTGTTTTTTGTTTGTATGATATTGAATATTAATTTTTTTATATAACTTCTTATACTAGAAATTGTGAGATAATAAAAAACCTATTACCTATCACTTTTTTCTTTCAATTTATTTGTAGTTTTTACCCAAATAAAAAAAGTTTTTTAAGAAGAGTGCAACTTACAACTCGGTTGCTGATAGCTAGTGTAACAATACGAGTTTTTTATGAATTTGTTCCAGAAACTGTACCCAAGTGGTTGATTATAACAGATTATTTAAATAACAAAACTCGAAATATTGTGCGGCTGATCTGCATTTTAAAATTCTTCTTAAAGCTAACTCTCTAATATGTTTTCTCCCCTCCCCTAACATTTCTATTAAAAAATCCGTTTCTTTTAATTTCGAGATTAATACCTTTTTTATTTCTTTAGGGAGGTAACGAGATTTACTAATAATGCTAAACAAGTGCCTGGTACTATCCTTACAAGACCAATGGTATTTAAATTAAAACCATAACAAGACATGCACTTTCACTATGAACTCTGTTAACATTTTAAGGTTCTGAGAGGGCTCATTGGTAGCAACGTATGACCTTAGGACTCTATTGGCTGTGGTAAGCCATCTAGAGTGTGACATTTTTTTCACTGGCGCTTTTAGAACCAAATCTCCTTTTAAAACTCCTGTGGAGATTCCTTGTCACATCACACGATTTAAGGATCATACCAGTGTCTCCCGCAAATCCTTTGGGCCCAGTAGTTTTTCCGTCTAAATAGTTTATTAAGTGTCGAAGCGGCAACTCGTTAGTGTTCAATAAACAAATCATTTATTGCAATGGTCTTTTTAAATCCGATTCAACAGCTCTTATTACACCGTTTTTAAAATTGGAATTTACCACGGTTCCGTCACAACGAATTGCCAGAAGTTTATATAAATGAATATTGTTCTGTAAAAAGTTGATAATCGATGTTTTGGCATTCCAAGATGTTGGACTAACATGTTCAAAATATCTCGATCCTGGTTCAAAAACTAGAACATAATGTTCTTCAACAACTGATTTTTGATAATACTTGTCTCCTATTTTCCTTAACGTCTTATCTTTGCGCCCGGTCAAAAAATATATCCTCAACTTCATGAGCATCGTCACAAAATTTGTTTTTTTTTTTCAGGTTTGTGCGACTTTTAATTCTAGGCCTTCTATTTTTACTACGATCTACAATTTTTAAAGATTCAGTGTGTACCAACGTCTTTTGGTATGGCACTTGCTATAATTGCCGATGATCGGTCAGAAACTCCTGTGCGGTCGCACGCTTCTGCCAATGTTGGTAAATGAAGTCGCATTTGAGCAGAGGATAATGATTTGGTGGTTTGATAACTCGCCTGAGAGGCCGGTAACAAAGGGCCGATTGCCTTGGAAGTTAACTGGATACTCTCTGATTCTTTGTGGTCTCGTTAACGTTGTTGCTTTATTTTTGACTTTCATTTCTTTGGTTTATCTTCTGAGAACGATGCGTTGCTGGAAGTTGACTGTCTGGCTAATGCCTTTAATTTTGTTTCAATTCATTTTTTATTTGTTTTTGCTGTTTCAAGATCTACGTTACCGATTATCATTTTCCGGTTTGTTCTTTGATCTAAAATTAATTATCTTTGGGCTACCAGTATCTTAGTTTTACATTTGTCGAGAAACTTTTACACTTGCAAATCGCAATATCAAAAAGCTTTTTCTCCGGATCTTCTATAAATGCTTTAACTTGTATGCTATAGTTGTCTTTATTATTTGATTTAAGGCTTTTCCTAATTGCTCTATATTTACCATGATATAGAAGAAAAGAAATAGTTACTTTCGAGAAGACTTCGTATACTTTTAATCCTCGTAAAACGAAAATATTACAAGCCCAATCTCATTAAAAACAACAAAAATATAAAGTTCCTGAGCACATTTCAGAGAAAATGTTATTACACTAATCGAGTTTATGAAACATGTAAACACGGAGCAGATGACAAGCAACGGGCGTCGTCTGCAATTTGTAACGGTGTGTGTATATATAAACGACTTCGCTAAGAATAATTGTTCTCTTGAAATATGGCGCGATACTTGGCCTTAATCTCCTACAAAGATATGTAAATATAATGCACTTATATTACCTAAAATGTTAAAAGCTCTTAGCTCACAGAGAGTGCATATTAGACTGCACTGGTTAAAAATTTTAATGCTTATACTCAGACAGCACAAATTTATTTATTTTACGATATTTTCTGGATCTCCGATATCCAGTGAACAGTCCAGTGAAGTATTTAAATGGAACACTTACGATCATTTCTGGATTACATTCGAAAATTGCACATCTACCCAGTGAATGTTAGACAATCACTAATGAACTTCTTTACAACGTTTTTTTGATAGGATGCAGGACATTCAAAATATTTTCCGTTCTGGCATGTTCACGTAATTAACGTTAAATGATGATCAATAACATTACATTACTCAAGACTCGTCTTTTTTATAAACAAACTAAAATGTTATATATAAATAGCTGTACACGAATAAAAATTAAATAATTAACGGAATAAAGTAATTGGTTACTAACGGGTTAATTGTTTTAAAGAAAAAATAGATTATATATAAAATTTTTAAAAATAATTCCAATGAACAAAGTAAAATAATTTTTTTTAAATTACGGAAATCAATTAACATATTTGATAAGAGAGGCAAAAAAAAGATACTAAAAAATCGAATCAAACAGCAACATAAATGTAAATCTTTGGAAGTGCATCAAGCAAAAAATGTCAAATGTCCAATAGAAAAAGAATCTAATTTTTTAAATATTAACAATATACGTTGATATTTCTAATAAAAGAAAAGTAATAGCGGATATATTTTGTGATCACTACACTAAAATAGCAAAGAAAATTCCTGAATATAGTATAAAAAAAAATAATTTATCTATATAACACAAATGTCAATTAAATCATCTTTATCATAGATAGAAAAAAAAAACTTGTACTGGTAATATAACTTCGAAAGAGTTATATGTCATAAAATATCTCCTGTTATTGCTTTTCTTATCAATCAATAAGTGAAGGCAAGTTTCAAGATTATCTTAAAGAAGCAATGACAATCTAGTGTATAAAAAAAGGGAATAAATTATATATAATGAATTATTGACCTTTACATATAATCTCAAGTGTAGAGAAAATTAAAAAAAAAATTAAAAAATTAAATTACATTATTTCTTACTAAATATAACATACTCTCCTATTAAGAATACCCTTAACGAAAATATCAGAATCGCAGAAATGACTAGACCCCACTGTAACATTTAATTAAATATCTATTGATAGCAAGGTTGACAAAGTCAGTAAAGTGAAAAAACTAGCGCGGTTGTTATCCAATACAGATTCACGAATTTGAAATCAATATTAATGGTTGAACAAAGAAAACCTGTTGGTAATATGCTTGCGCGAAATGATTGCGCGAGCGGTAACGGTTTTGGAAGCACGCCGAGCACGGCACAATGTCGTTCAGACTCGTCTCAACTATGATAACAAAAATATCGACAATTGAGTAAAAACCACTGATCTATATTATTTTACTGGATAGAATATAGCCCCCTTAAAAACTTTTCGAAAAATTGGCCAATTTGGGCATATATTTATAGCAGACAAATGCATTCTTTATGTATCTTTGTTAATCTTACAAAAGATATTTGCTATAATTGACCATATGAAATTAATGGATGCCTTGGAAAATATTGAATTTTAAGGTGTTTCTTACAATCTAATAAAAAGTTACCTAGAAAATAGAAAACAAACAGTTGATATTATTGGTACTTTTAGTAATAATTAGGTTATAAATTGTGGTGTTTCTCAGGGAATAGTTCTTGGACCATTATTATTTAATTTATATTTAAATGATCTCTTCAAGCAAAAAATAAAAGGTGAAATCATTAGCTTTGCAAATGATACTGCCGATATTTTACTAAGGCAAAACTTATATGATTGTATGAGGTCATCTTCAAAGTGTTCCTTCTCAGTTCCGTTTGTCAACCCTCTGAGTACGAATGCGTGTGATTTTTCTGCACGACTAGTATATGTATGGAATGGGATTTTCGCCTCTCTTATGCTGGTTATTAGGTCAGAGTAGTGTTTTTGTTGCTCTAAAAATAGGATAGTCGAATTTGATGTGTATTTGACCATGTAGGGTCCTGAGATTATGTTCTTCAAGTTCTTTTTAAGGTTAGTATGGTTGTCTGTTGTGCCCTCTACTACTATCGGTGGCACTGCGGATTTCTTGGCTATTTTAGTAGTGTTTGCCTCTGTGTTAGGTGGTTTTGGCTTCGTCTTCGGTGGTGCTTGGGTTTTGCTGTCTCCTCCCTTTGTCACAGGAGGACCCCTGGGTTCTTCTTCGTTCTCAGATTCCGATTCTGTAAGGACGTCGTATCTGTTTTTGGTGGTTAGTGATCTCACCGCCTTTTGTCTAAAAATCTTAACAAAGTTGGTGGAAAATCTTTTTGGGGTTTGAAATTTCTCTTTATTTGCGTCTGTATCCATTTCTACTACTGTCTGAATTTCATACAGGTTTTGGGGTTGTATCTCATTTGTCCTTTTCGTTTTTGAGACTGGGGATTTTGGAGAAATGTGGTGGTTCCTCTGCGGGAGTAATGGTGGTGCTTGGACGTAGACATCTGCCTAAGTTTATATGATATTCTGGGGTGGGGGTGCATCGCTGTTGTTTGATGATTCCTCCCCTGATGAGACCTTATTTTGTTTAAAGTTAAGGATTCTGGCAGTCACGTGACTTGGCATTGCTATAGTTTTATAAGCAGATTCAAATTTTGGGATTTATGAATTTTTTCCATACTTTTTTTTGCTCAACAGTTTTAATTTTTAATTGTGTCGGGGGTGTCGGTGTCAGAATCGTGTTCATCGATGTGAAATTCGAACGAATTATCTGTGTTAGGGCTACTAGATCCACTGTGAGAGCACTCAAGAGTCTTTATAGGTTTCTCCATACTTTCATTGTTGGCATCGGCTCTTGGTCCGTCGAAACTATATTGCGATGACTGCAAATCGTTGATTTCGTCATGAGTGGAATCGCTCGGCGGCTGCTTCGACTGTTGGTCGGATGCGTTCTCGTAGCTTTTGCGTATTTCGCGACTGTCGGGCGCTTTCTACATACTTTTTTACCTGTAAGCCGCTTTCTCCAAACTTTCGAGTCTCTTGTTCTCTATACTTTTTTTGCTCATTTTCTGCAGTTTCATATTTCTCTGCTGTTTGTACCGAAATTTGATGGCTGTCTGGAATAGGATTCTGATGTTCTGGGGTGGCTTGATTCTCTGTGGCCGTCTGATTTGAGTTGGTGTCTTTCACCAAATTAGTGAGTACTTTCTGCAAGCATTTTTGAGTTAAATTTTTGGCCAGGGGTCTCTTCTAAATGTGGTATAGGACCCCCGGTTAGGAGAGTTAGTTGGAATTCTGGAAGTACTCACTGTTTTGTGTGTGTTTTGCCTTGGAAAATCTTGGGGCTGAAGGGTGCAGCGTGTTTTTTAAACACATTTACGTTCACTGTAGGTGGTTTTGAGGCGGCGGTTATACGTTCGCGGACACGACGCGAGTACAATGTCTCGTATCTGGTTCTGGATGGCCCGGAGGGCTCTTCCATACGCGGGGTTACACTCCGAAATTGTTTTTACACTATACCTGGTACACGATTATAATTGTTTTTATTATTTTATACGTATATTGTATCAGTTTATTTAGAAAACAAAAAAGAAAAGCGCTGACGCTCAGGTCCTATCCTTTTGTTGCTTTTGGTAAAAGGCGTATCCACTGCATTAAGTGAACATGGACGTTATCTCACCAAGCTATATCTTACATAAGCCTAGAAGAGCTCATAGTGGCAGATACGATTCATATCTACATCTTCGGTTTTAAAGCAAAATAATGTTTGGGATGTGGAATATACTACAGATCCTTAAACCTTAAGCAATAGTGCCAGTGTAATTCAAATCGGACTCACGGGGATTCTAAGTTAACAAAAACAATAACACTGGAGAAAATATACTTATCCATGCCTACAGATAGCAGACAAGCACTAGTTAACCTGGACAGACCATCGATTTACTCACGAATGGAACTAGAATATCACGAACATTTAAGAGATAGATTAAAGGTCACAATTTATAAAAAAAGTAATCGTCTTGCTAATTCACTACCCAAAAGGGTAAAAGCCAACCAAACACTTTTTGGACCTTTAGGGTCTGATAATTTAATTACCCAAAACTAACGTGTAACACTAAACCGCACAATGATTTGGTTTGTTACAAACACAATCACTTGGCTAAATCAAAAGGTCACTTTCTTAAGTCTTCCTGTCAGGTTCGTGTTGTCAAGAAGCTGGACGCCTCAACGTTCACATGTTGGTGGCGCCGTTGTTCGTGACTCCAAACGAATCTGTTGATAATCTCGACAACAGTGTCCATCTGAAGGTCTCGATGATGGTCTCTATGTACCAAGAAGCATCGACAATGTTCGTCAATACTTTGTTCTGGAATCTCTAAATTATTAGAATATTACTGTAGCTGGCACAACACCAGAGCTGAATGCCATAGGTCCAAATTGGTTTGAGTATTAGTTTATATAATATAATTTTGTTATAGATAGGCTGGAATGCCTACGAAGTAACCAGTACATTTTCTTGAATTTTATATCAAACTCTTGTCTTTTCTTTTTAACATGGACCTTCTAGTGAAGTCTTGCATCTAATGTAATACCTATATATTTTGCCGAGTTAGCATAAGGGACCTGAGCATTATTTGTATTAATTGAAATTCTTTGACAATTTTTGTTAATAAATTTAATATTAACAGATTTGGTTTCGTTTAAATTAATACTTCATTTTTTAGTCCATTTATTTATTTGATTAACTGATGTTTGTAGTTTATTCGCACACTCTTCATGATCTTTGCCTATCACTAGGATGACTGTATCATTTTCAAATGTAGCTATTGTGTCTTGTTTTAGTTGGGGTATGTCACAAGTGTATAACATATACAAACTGAGTTCCAGGACGCTTTCCTGTGGTAATCCTGCTTTAATTTTTTTCAATTCAGAGTATGCTTCATCTTGTTTTACTCTAAAAAATCTATTTGAAATGTAAGAATCAAATAGTATGGCTCTGGAAGTAGCATATTCAGTTTATGTTTTAAGCCGTCATGCCATACTTTATCAAAAGCCTGCGCAACTTCGAGGAAGATGGCTGAACAGACTTCTTTGTTTTATAATGATTTTTCAATCGCATTTGAGATTCTATGAACCTGATCTATAGTTAAATAGTTTTTTCTAAAGCCGAACTGGTAATCTGGAATATGTTTGCTTTCTTCAATGATGGGTTTCAGTCTTTTAATTAGTATTTTTTCAAATAGTTTTGATATTATAGGCAATAGAGACATTGGCGTATATGACGAAACTTTGTTTGGAGGTTTTGTTGGTTTGGGGATCATAATGACTTCAGCTACTTTCCACAATCTAGGGACACACCTTAGTTTGAATGAGGCATTTAATTACGGCTTTCTTCGGAAGTTGTTTTAAGATTTATCCTGTAATTAAATCAAAGCCAGGAGCTTTCTTAGGATTAATATTTGTTTTTATATCTTCTGCAAATACCTTTGGAGAAGTTGGTCTGATAATTAGGTTATCTTTCTCTAGAGGAGATTAGTTCGGTAATTCTTCTTCTTCATTTGGTTGGAAGATATTTTGTAAGTACTCTGCGAATCTAATAACTTTATGAATATTATTTCTGATTGGAGCATTCTGCACAGTCGGCCTTTTTAATCGCTTTGTGGCTTTTCACAAAGAATAGTCAATGGATTTATCGTTTGTCAACTCACTTAGGTACTTACAAATAGATTCATTTTTGATTCGTTTTATCTCTCTTTTTTACTGCTGGGTGGCGTTTTTAAGTTTGAATTACTCTGATGTCCTTATTTATTTAGGATAGTTATTTCCTGTTGCTCACTGCACAATAGGTGGTGTATTATCCCATGCTGCTTGTATGTTGAACACAAGTAGTTCTACTTCTTTATCTAGCTGTGCTTTTGTTCTTAACGGAACTAAAAGATTGATTTTATGTTGAACGTCCAGTCTGAAGCTTTGCTAGTCTGTTATCCTATTTTTTAGTCTAGGAGCGCTTTCCTTTTGGATAATGGTGCCACTAACAGTGAGAAGAATGGACGAATGATCGGAATTCATATCCCATGCCTCATCAAATTGGATGTTGTTTGCTGAAATATTTCGTACAACATAAAAGTCTATTAGGTCGGGTATTTTGTTTCTGTGGACCAATAAGTTAGTTTGCCAGTTGAATGCGACTTACATTTTAACTGTGTCATTGCTTCTTTTACGTTTTTACCCTTAGCTGTTGTGAGTCTGGTGCCCCAATGGGTGTGTTTTGCATTAAAGTCGTCTCCAATGATAAATCTAGGTTTTTTACTATTGAGGAAATCTAGGTATTGTTCTTTTTTAATGCCATGTCTTGGAGGACAATATTATTATTTTTCTTTAAAATAAAAAATGCTTGACCTGACCGGGATCGAACTCACGACACGTCGGTTAAAATTTAACGTCAACTGTTTAACGCGCTCGATTATAGAGACATTTATTAATTTGTTACCAGATTAGTACTATAGTATAACGTAATAACTATTGTCAAATCTTGACCTATTCCAATTATCTATATTGTTTGCATATTTCTTTTAACACAGAGTAAAATTATTTAAAATTGTACAGTGGTTTTAAAATATTTTATTTTTAATGAAATTGCACGAAGTTAAATCTACAAAATAAAAAAGTGACAAGAAATAACGATGAGACTATCCATTTAACAAGACAACACAAATCACGGTTTCATTTGAAAACCCTAGACATGACAAATCTACTCCCAAACCAAAATTAGAACGCATTATGTAGCTTATTATACAACCATCGGTTTCTAATCCTCAGCATGATGGGCTTATCTGCGGAAAACTAATGCATTTCCGCCAACTTCAGCCATGGAGACATTCTAGGCGACAACTTCAATTGAAACTTTGCTATTTGTTGCTGGATTAAAGCTCTGTATTTGCGTGTTGTTTCTAGCTACAACAGTAAACCAGTTTATTTTATGAAAAATACAGAAAACATTGTTAAAATCAATTGGATAATTTTTATTTATTAACCCTTTAATTTTATATTAAATGAAATGTATGTGTGTAATTAATTGTGAGATGTAGCAGACATATTAGGTATTACGTGATTTTATAAATAATAAATAGATTTTATATTAATATTTAAAATAACTTATTCTTCAAGAGGGTATGACTACTGTATACGTACTTTATATAAAACATTATTTTAAAAAGTATTTTTATTATTGTTTAAAACAGTTGTATCAGTAGTAAATATTTTTCAAAACTCTCAGAATGAAAGAAGGCCTTATGAGATTGCTTAACTACTCGTTAAGTCTTACTTTGAATTTAGTAAGGAAAAAATTGAAAAATTAAAATGTTGACCGTAGCCCTTAAGACACGAAGTATTTATAGTCATTACTTAGTTTGAGACACTAAGTGCTTAATTAACTAAATTTTGAAATAATTTTTTGTACTTAGCAAATACACAGATCATTAAGTGATTAATTAAATATATTTTGAAATAAATTATAAAGAAAAACGACGATGAATTACATTCAACAAGTTGGATTCGTCGTTACGCTCAATCTTGCATCCAATATACACTAAGCTTGGAGACGTCTCTGTAAAAGGCACTATCTTGGCCGATAAGGAAGGTCTTCCAACAAATAACTACGTCACAGGCATCACTTACTTCTTGTCCACTTCTCATTCGTTACCGTCATAGGCGTCATCCACTTTCATTAGTTAGCGCCACAGGCACTTCTTATTGGTCAACGTCAAGCGTAAGTCTCAAGCTAGCTTAGCGACTTCTCTCCCGCGCAGAATTAGAGCATCAGAAACCGTCAAACCCAACACAGCGTTTTGCAGTGTTAAAAAATTAACGCTCCGTCCGCCATCGTGTAACATATCTTTTATATATGAACATGGTTAAGTTAATAAATGTTCTAGAGAAATAATATAAATAATGTAAAAAGTGTTTAGTCCTAAGTGCACCATTTAGTAAAAGATAAAATCATTACATTAGTTTAAGGAACAAGGTGTTCATTAAGAAGATGATCATTTAATCCAAATTCTACATTTCTCAGGCCAATGGATCGCACAGGTATTCTCAAACTTTATTATTTATACAGTTCATTATTTTGCCAAGGGTCGAATGTCGGTTCTAGCTTGTTTATGGAGTAGATACCCGATAGAAACCTATATATCGACCAAACCGCAACAAACCCAATAAAACATTTGAGTGAAAATTATATATAAAGTTGACAATACCATAGGAAAATTTGTTTAAAAACAGTAGAATGAGTGGAATGTTTAATTTAACATATAAGCAGGCATGGTGCATACAAAATCCTTAAAATAGTATAAAAAATCTGATACTAGGGTTACCAATAACAGCATCACCATCATCATCTTTCCATCCAGATAAAGTAACATCTATGTAAAACCAGTGAAAAAACGAACAATAAAAGAGCTGTCGAAAATCAGCATATTCAAA